GTGTGTGTGTGTGTGTGTGTGTGTGTGTGTGTGTGCATGTGTGTGGCGGTTTGAGAGATTTGGGTGTGCCTGTTTAGGGTGTTCTTTCCCTGCATAATAGTGCAGCCAGGGTGCTCAGTCGCTGTGTGTTTGTAAAAGGAAGAAGTTCCACTCATCCCTTTGAACAAACTGTAAAAAGAGCAGCGCTCTTACATCCAGACTTCAGTTTTTAAATGTGTGATGCGTTCAGACACAGAACGCCTACATATCTGTCTGTAAATTTATGCTGACTCATTTGCAAAAAAAAGGTGCCTTTCGGTTGTGTGTTTTGCAGCACTTAGTCACATATTATCCCTGACCTCCTCGGCCCCAGCGTTCTAACCCTTATCTGATGGTTATATCACCACGAGAAAGAAAGGAATGTGGAGCTTCAGATCCACCAGCATTCAGGTGTTGGGTCTTTGTGTGGCTGAATGCACTGGTGTTAAAGCATCCCAGAAATAGTTTTTAAACTGTAGTGACAAGGATGAGCAAAAGAAGGAGAGTGCACGAGTTGAGCTAAGCACTGAACATGCGTTAGGGATCTTCACTCTTATCTTCCTCACTTGGTTGTTGACTCGTAGGTGAAGGACAGTGTGGGAAAGGTTGAAGTCTCACAAGACCTGGGCTTGTGAGCTGCAGGTCAGAGTCCATGCTTGTGCTGATTTCCTAATTTCCTGAACGCTGCCCCCTACTGCAGCTGTACAGTAACACACAGAGAGGATGATGGCCTTTTCACACAGAACAAGGCTGGGGTGGGCAGTGTGGTGAACAACATTTCAACTAGGGTTAGGAATGATAAAAATCCTCCATCACAAAAAATTATGAGCAATTTTGAGCGATCTTGCCACTTCGATCAGTTAGGGATGATCAAGGCTGGAACAGTTAAAGGACAGTGCTGATTTTCCCTAACTTTGTTTACTAAACTACAGATAAAAGGACCTGTAGCTTTAGTTTTTATGGCCACTATTTACAATTGCTTGTGTGTATACGAGACAGTGTGTGCATTTTTTTTTCCTGGAAATGCTTCATGGAGGGCAGCGTAGAGGAGGGGTGGTGAAGGAGAGGGAGGTAGCAGGGAGGAAACTAGGAACAAAAAGCTGAAATGGTGCCAACATAACCCAGCCGCAACCGGAAAAAGGGAGGAGGGGAGAGGTGAGGGTTATTTCTAATATTTTTCTTTTTCCTTACTTTTCTGTTTTGCTCTTTTTATCTGTAGTGGGAAAGGTGTTCATGCTTCTCTCTTTTTATTATCTCTCTGTGGTTGCCTTGTGGTCTGGGGGAGGATGTATTTATTATGTGTTTCTGTGTGTCTGTCTCACTTTAAAACTCCCACCCCACCTCCCTCTCACCTCCTCATCTGTCTTCTGTGCCCTTCTTTAACCTGAAACAGCAGGTATTCTAGGACAGGTTAAATGAGAAACCAAAGTGGGTATTGGGTGTCTGTCATCTTATTCCTCTTTGGACTCACAGAGTCTCTTCTCTGGTGTCACAGAGTGCAGACGAACACACGTTACAATAACTGAGCGTTGTGTTCGGAAGACACAATAAACGAGGGCTCATGAGCTTTTTGCTGGTTTTGTTAATCATTTACACTGCTTAGTGTTTGCTTTGGAGTCTTTTTATTCGCACAAGAGCCACTTCATGGCTGTGTGCTTTCTGCACTTGTGAGTTTGCATCTGCCCAATAAACACTTCTACAAACAGTGTGGAAACAGCTCAACGGTGATGGCTGACTGTGGGAAGACAGTGGAAGAGGTGTTAGAACACTGACATGAGATAAAGTCACGGGGAAACATTAACAAGGAGAGAGACAGAGGGTTTACAAATGCGTACACTGTCCTAGAAGTCAGTTTAATTGTTGTGTGCATGAGTCTGCGTGCATTTGTTCACACATTAGTGTTTTGTGTTACTGTATATAAAACCAGGTTTTTGTAAAGTCTTGAAAATGTGTTGAAGTGTGTTGAAGTGTGTGTGTGTGTGTGTGTGTGTGTGTGTGTGTGTGTGTGTGTGTGTGTGTGTGTGTGGGTTTGACTTCCAGAATCCATCAAGGATGGACCG